AGAGCAGTCTGAACTACATAATGAGATCTGTCTCAAAAAAAGAAAAAGAACGGGAGGAGGAGTAAGTGGGGGCATTGAGGGGGTGGGGGGCAGAGGGGTAGCCCCTCTGCTTGGAAGGCAGCCAGGCTGATGTCTCCATGGCTTTGCTGTCATTGCCCTGCAGCAGGGGGCCATGGAGGCGTGGGACACAGCTGAGGCCTGACAGTGTGAAAGGGACGCGGGCTGCTCATTGGAGCTGGAGGCCTCCAGGCAGAGCAGGGAGGAGCGCCACCTTCCTGGCAGGGTGGCGAGCCTGGTGTTTGTCCTCATACCCTGTCAATGCTGAGCCACAGCCTCAGGCCGGTGCAGGCCTAGGGGGGCCGGCTGCCCTTCCCACCCAGTGACCCCATCTCCTTGACCTGGCCCGCAAGCTGTCTGCAGAGCCTCGGCTCAGCTTCTCCAAGTTTGTCGCCCCCAGTACAAGGGGTGACACCTGGTCCTGGACTCTCCGGTTGGGCCAGGGGCTGGGGCAGCCTTTTCCCTGAGCTGGGGTGGAAGGCCTGGGTCACTCCCACCCGCCTCAGCAGAAGGTGAGATGACTGATGGGCTTTTTCCTTTGCAGTACCGAAGATTGAACCCAGAGCCGCCTTCTGCATCCCGCTCCCCTCAGATCCTGCGGACCGCCCCCAGTTTGTCCCCAGCCGCAGCTGCAGTCTCCCTATCTGATCCCTGTGCCTTCAGTCCACAACCCACTCTCTCCTGGCCAGGCACAGTGCGTCCCCCGCTGGAGCAGGACGGGAAATGCCAGGCGGCACCAGGGGTCCGGACCCCCTTGGGAGGGTGGGAGCCTGGCCTGGAGACTACAGGGCGTGGCTTAGGGAGGAAGGCGTGGTCAGGGGAGGAATGGACTTGGACGTGTCCAGGGCGAGACTGGGGAGGGAGCCGGGGAGGATAGGCGTGATGTGGGCGTGGCCTTGACGGGTCCCTCCCTCCCCGGCTGGCTCCGCCCCATCCCCTGGTCCTCCGGGCTTCTCCCGCGCAGACCCATTGGGTCTTCGCACCGCGAGCCCGCGGACATACAGACCGCCAGCCATGGAGACGCGGGCGCGGCGGCCGCAGCTCCTCTGGCTGCTGTTGCTCTGCGGTAAGGGGGCGTCGGCCGGGGTGCCCCGACCCTTGGGGTCTACGCCTTCCCCAGAGCTGAGGAGGGGCACGCAGTGACGCCTGTCCTTGCCGCCCCAGGCCGGGAGCGGAGGGAGGAGCAGGGATGGTGGTCTGGGGCCACTGTCCCTTCCTAGGGAAGGGTCTGAGGGGGTGGTGAGCGCCTAGTCCAGGCCAGGGGCGCGCGCACACTGCGCAGGCGTCGGTGGGGGGAGACCCCGGAATGGGGGGCCTTGGTCTTTCTGAGCCCTGGGGGAGAATCATTACTCAGGAAATGGGAAAAGCTTATTTTGAAAAAATGTCACTAAGAAATTATCCAAGAATAAGAGGATGTGTGTGTGTACATCTGTGCATGTATGTGGACTTGTGCATGTGTGCGTGGGCGTGCGTGTGTGTAAGAGCTTTTACAAGAGAGTGCTTGCCAAGGGCTCAGGGTCGCTGGGTACAGCCTGGGCCTAGCCGGCCTCTGGGCTCTGGGTATCAGACTCAGGGTCTGTCCTCCAGGGTCACTGTTCCCTGGTCCTGGAGGACAGCTCCCCTTCTGGCCCCAACCTCCCTGGCTGCGAGGCTGTTTGCGGTATCTTCCTCAGCTTTGCTGATGTGGGATTCGGTAAACAAGGTGGGGAAGGTGAGCCGGACGCAGTGGTGACATCCCTTCCTTGGCAGGGCTCTCTGGGCGGTGCATGGCTTGACGTCATGTTTCCTGGAGCCTCAGGTGGGGTGGGCTTTTAGGACACGTGACTGCTTCCAGAAATCGGTGTGCTGCATTGGGAAAGCGCCTTCCACGAAGGCCCCTCTCTCACAGGCTGTGGCCTCCCTAGTGGCAGGAGAGACTGGAGTCTCTGCTGATGGTGCCCCAGCTCCCATGACCAGCTCCAGCGTGGGTTAGGAAAGGACCACAGGTGGAAGTTGCACAGCACACTCCCTGGTGTTTCCAGGGCCACCTCCTTGTCCTCTTTTGCTGGTCCTCATTGTCCCCCGACCCATGAGCTGGCCTCCTTAGTGGGGTCAGGTGCAGCTCCTGCAGACCTACCTCGTGTCTGCCTGGCCAGAGCAAGAGTCAGACAAGCTCACAGTCACATTCAGTTTGCAGCTGGGTCTCCCTCTGGAAGGAAGAGCTAAGCTGCCCAGCTCCCAGGCCTGGTGGCCATCTGTGCTCTGGGACCTCAGTTGCCTTCAGACCGGGGGCCTGGCTGCTGCAGGGAGTGGAGCCAGTGGGAGTGACTCCTCCTGATCAGTTCTGACCCAGGAGGGTGCTGGCCTGCAGGTCTACTTGGAGAATTGTAAAGCATTTCTCAGGAGGCGCCTGGCAGTGTGCAGGGCTGTGGGGTGGGGACTCCATTTGGCAAAAAGGTGCCATGGGCGAAGCTCTTGCCCGGATCCTTTTTTTGGTACTGGGGATTGAACTCCGGTCCTTGTGCTTGCAAGGCAGGTGCCAGAACCACTGAGCTAAATCCCCAGCCCTTGCCTGGATCCTTTTGGTCTGGGTCACTCCTAATCTTCAGGTCAGCAAGATCTGGCCTCTAGGCTCAGTTCCCCCATCTGCAGCGTAGAAGCAGCTCTAGCCATCTGGAGAGGGCTGCTGTGATGGTCAGTCTGGTTGGATTCTGCTCAGTCCCTGCACCTGGTACTGGGTGTGGGATTATGGGGCAAAAGGGCCCATGCATAAGACAGCATGCGTGTGGCAGGTGTGCCTCACAGGAGCTTGTGCACAGCACCTCCTGTGTGTGTGCCCTGCCTGTGAACAGATGCCACCATTTTGACAATGAGTGGAGGTAGCGATGCCCTGCCACTGTGTCATCTGTGGTCACATTGATCGCCAGTGTTGCCTTGTTGCTCACTGGTGGGCCCAAGGGCAGGGCGGAGTGGCAAGTGGTTCTGGGGATTCAGAGGCCAGAAGGAGGGGGCTTGTCAAGCTCAGGGACTGGGATTTTAGCATTGAAGGTGCCTTGTAGGTCATCTGCACCTACTCATCAGTTTACAGATAAGGAAACTGAGCAGAGGGGTTGGGAGGGAATTCCCCAGAGAAAAGGGACCCAGTGTGACCCACTGCAGCTACCCACCATGCTGGGGTCTGGAGGCTGCTCCTTTCCTTCCAGGAGGATGAGGCACTTGGGTCTCCAAAGGTCTTTCGGAAATGGATGTGTTTGGCTGTTTATCATCATGTCTGAGCTTGTGGAAGTCCTCGGGACAAAAGACGCGCATGCCTGTTTGTTCTTTGTTTCCGGAGGAACTGACCCAAATGGATTTCTATTTCGATTCAGTTCTTGAGAACTTCACAGATGCAGCCAGGAGCTAAGTGGCAGTGATCTACTTAGTGGTGTTCTGGGGGCTGTCTTCACCCTGTTGGTATTAGGTGGGTAGTGCCACAGTGCCTGCCCTGCCCTAGCCTAGGGCATTGTCACAGGCCTTCAGTCAGGGACCCTACATAGGAGGCTGGGTGTGTGGCTTCGACAGCACAGTCACCACTGCCAGGGCCAGGTTCCTGCTGCCCTGAGGATGCAGGATTCAAGAGCACAGGGGACCTGTGCAGAGATTCTGGAGGACACAGATTTGGGATTCTGTGGAGGTGCATAGAGATTCAGAGCACAGCAGGATGGGCCTGATGTGCCCGATGTGCGGGCCTCCCATCCTCCTTAGATAGCTGGGCCCACAAAGGTAGAGCCATGGAGAAGGCTTCTTCCTGGCACAGGGGATGGAGGGAAATCAGTGCTGTCTTGGATCAGCTCTCCACAGGGGGGACCAAGGGCATAGAGGTAGTGACAATCACCAAGGATAACTGGTACTTACAGGACCTGTCCCAGGGCACTGTTTTGGAACTTCACAGCTAACATGAAGAGGTGTCAGAGGTGGACCTGTGCAGCGGAGATGGGCCGCTAGAAATATCTGTGACAGACACCTCCTGGGGTTGGGGCCTGCACTCTCCATCTGGCCCACATGGGCCAGGGCTGCATACCCACCATGGGGGTGTGTGGTTGAGCAGGGTGCAGACGGGGCCCTCAGGCCAGGTGCTTGGGGACATGGCATCCCCGGAGCCTGTCGGTCAGCACCCTGGTCTGCTCCAGGCTGGCAGGCTTGTCATCCCTACCACCGAGGTGAACATCTGAGTGGAAATACCTGGTCCTTCGTCCCTTGCTCCCAGTGGGGTTACACACTGTCATGGCTTAGAGAATGGACGTTCCTGGGACCCCACCCAGAGGCTGTCCCACAGTGGGCCGGGCTGTGGCCAGTGGGCAGGGAAAGTGGTCTCTCTTTCTTCTGTCTCACATAGTTGCAATGGGAGATGGCAGATGGATGGAGATCCAGCTTGGGCTTCCCAGGAAGACTGCGGTAGGGTGGTCCCCACCATGTCAGAGGAAAGGTTTTTCTTATAATTGTCACCTCCTTCAAACAGATTTGGAGCCGGCTGGGGACACAGAGGGGACAGCCAGTCTCTGGAACCTGGGGAGGGGCTTGGTGAGGAGACGTTCTCACTCTGAAGGGGGTGGGCTGGTGCCTAGTGGGATGAAGCCTTACAAGAGATTTTGTAGGGACACCGTTATTAACTGACGAAAAACACACAAAATCAGAATATTTTAATTTTTGAATGAATTTATACTAGGTGCTTTGAAGTTTTTCTCTGCTAAGCCCAGCATTCACACCATCTCAAAGGTGGCTTCTTTCACCTGCTCTCTCTCCTCTAGATGGTTACTTTCCTATTTCTTTCAATGTTTAATTTTTTTTTGGTACCAGGGATTGAACTCAGGTCCTTGTGCTTGCAAGGCAGGTGGCGGAACCACTGAGCTAAATCCCCAGCCCCAATGTTTAATATTTTTAAACATTGAAAATTCAGAATAATATATTGTGGCTACTCTGCATACTGATCTTTCCCTGGGGCTTGTTGGGTTATCTGTTAGGGTCTTGGCTGAACTTGTAAGTTTGTGAAGCCTGTTTCTGCCATAGTGTACAAGGGGTGTGTGAAAAATATGGTGAATGTTTAAACTTTAAAAAATTATTACAGTAAAACATGCATTGCCATTCATTTCCCACAGACTACTCCCCCTTGGTTTGAACACACTTGTCCCATTGGTCTCACCACTTTCTGAAGCAGGTCTGGAAGTCCTCTTTCCTGAGTGTCTTTGTAAGACAGGATAAAGATACAGTGGATGCTGCTGCTGAACGCCATCCATTGGAAAGGCAGGCTCATAAAAACACTAAGACATGTTATTCACCAGATCTGGCACTGCTATTTCTGGCTCTTCCCTCAAATTAAAATGACCATGAAAGGCAAGGTCCCGAGTTCCATCCCCGGTACCCCCGAAAAAAAGACTATGAAAGGGAAACATTATGAATGAGTTCTGGACATCAAGGCAGCCAAACAGCACAACTAGTGACTTGCTTGTGGAGGCTTGTGGGTGGCTGATGTCCCAGTTGGAAGCTGTGACTCAGCCTGTGAGCTGAGCCTCACCTCAGCTGTTGGGTCCGAGTGTGGCGGTAGGGAGCTGTGGGCCCCGCGTCCTGCCTTTTGGTGTGGGCGGCATCCTGAAGGCTGTGTCCTTGGCCCCTGGACTGCGGCGGCGGGG